GAAGGGAAGGGAAGGGAAGGGAAGGGAAGGGAACGATGGGCCTCCCGTTGCAGACAGGCAGGGTAAGGCCCACCGCTGGTTTCACTATGTAGGGCTATTGGTTGGTTTCGAGGAAAACGGGTATATTTAGAGCTAGCCCATTATTTTCTTTTGCAGCCAAGTGTTTTCTTGACACTTGCGGCGCACGACTTGGCTAAAAGCTGCTGTTAAAACAAGGGTTAGCAGCTGTGCAGCAAACACGCGGGAGGCGGGGAAGCCCGGCTGGCCCTCGCCAAGCGTTTTACTTAAAAATAAATAAATAAATAAATAAATAATGTGTCAAGTTGTGCGAGGGGAAAAAAAAAAGCTCTGCGAGTTGGCAATTTCTCGCGAGGAAGCTGTTCCCGCGTTGAGACAGCGTGTGGCGTTGTAAGCCCAGGGCAGGGGAAGGGGGAAAGAATATCTGTCTATCTGCCTGTCTGCATCTGGGAATTTCCTAGCGGCTGCCGGGGGGGCAGGGGAGCGCGGTATTTATTTATTTTCCTGACCGGCTCTGGCTCCTGGTTTACCGGGCGCAAGGGAGGCGACCTATCCTTCCTTTCCTTTTTCCTTTCCTTTTTCCTTTCCTTTTTCCTTTCCTTTTTCCTTTCCTTTTTCCTTTCCTTTTTCCTTTCCTTTTTCCTTTCCTTTTTCCTTTCCTTTTTCCTTTCCTTTTTCCTTTCCTTTTTCCTTTCCTTTTTCCTTTCCTTTTTCCTTTCCTTTTTCCTTTCCTTTTTCCTTTCCTTTTTCCTTTCCTTTTTCCTTTCCTTTTTCCTTTCCTTTTTCCTTTCCTTTTTCCTTTCCTTTTTCCTTTCCTTTTTCCTTTCCTTTTTCCTTTCCTTTTTCCTTTCCTTTTTCCTTTCCTTTCCTTTCCTTTCCTTTTCTTTCCTTTCCTTTCCTTTCCTTTCCTTTCCTTTCCTTTCCTTTCCTTTCCTTTCCTTTCCTTTCCTTTCCTTTCCTTTCCTTTCCTTTCCTTTCCCTTCCTTTTCTTCTTTCTCTCTCCCTCTTCCTCCCTCTCTCTTTCATTTTTCTCCCTTTTCCTTCCCTCTCCCTCCGCTCTCCGCGCTCCCCGGCAGGGAGGCAGGACGCGCCCGGACGGGGCGGGCAGGCCCGGGGAGGGGGCGATGCTTTCGCGGGGCCGGGCGCTCCTTACCTGCTTTCACGGAGCAGTGGATGTGCGCCTTGGACTCGTAGTAGACCCAGTCGAAGCCGGCCTCGACGGCGAGGCGGGCCAGGATGCCGTACTTGCT